CCTCTCTGAGTCCCTGCTGCTCTCAGCCAAATTGTAGCAGGAGAGCACTGCTGAGGTCTCTGCGGTGTGGGGAAGACCAGCATTAACATGCCTCTGCCTGGCCACAGAATATCCTGGAGCAGTTCAACCCCGCGCTGGAGAACCTGGTGTACCTGGGGAACAACTACCTGCGTGCCTTCCATGGTGAGTGGGGTCCCGCGTAGCCTGGGCTCCAGGTCATGCTGCTGCATCCATTCTGGGTGTCCGCTGTGTGACAAGAGAGATTCCTGTGACCCAGGGCAAGACTGCTGGTCCCTGCCATGGCATGTCCTCATCTGCTCTTACTCACTTTTCTCCTTTTCTGGGACCTGCTGCTCCTAGTAGGCACAGATGGGGAGAGATGGGGTGCCCTTGCCTATAGAGGCAAAGTACCAGGGGGATAACTGTCCTGTGTGCTGCTTGCTGGGGCTGGTGATAGTGGGAAGGCAGGCCGGAACTTCATCTCTGCTCTCCTCTCCTTACAGCACTATCCAAAGCAGCTGAAGTGTATTTTAAGGCGATTGAGAAGATTGGGGAGCAAGCACTGCAGAGCTCCACCTCACATGTGCTGGGTAAGGCTCTTCCTCTTGCCATCCTCTGTCCTGTGATGAACCACAGTTAGAATTTTTTTGGCTTTCTACCTTAGCTAGTCCCTTTCCAGGTACTGGGGGAAGTAAGAACAGCTCCTCTAAATGGTGTTTCACAGTACCAGGCCCTGTCCAGGCAGTGAGAGTTAAATTTATTGTGTATCCTTGAACGGCCTCCAAGACCCCAGTACTCTTCTCTGTATCTCTCTAAGATCCATGAGTGACTGCATGGATGGACCTCCAGTGACGGAAGTCTCATGGAAACCAGTCCTTGATTAGGCATCCTGCCTTCAGAGCTGAAGTTTTCACCTTGGAGGAGTTATTTCGCTCCTCATAGGTGTGAGGGAAAAGACAGAAAGCAAGAAGAGCGCCTTGGAGCTGAGGGGCTTACACTCAGCAGCACAAATAATTCTGCAGCCTAATGGTGGCGGCTGAACATATGCTCAGGGAACTGCTCTGCTGCTAAATGCCGTAGTAAAAAGCTTCCAGCAGGTGTGTTCCTTCTGTAGACACCTATCGTCATCTGCACCACTCAGCTCACTCCTTTGTTCCCTGTAATCAGTTTCTTCCTTTACCAGTTCCGTGATACCAACACCTGCAAAGCAGGACCATGCACAGCATCAGCAGTGGGTGCTGTTGCTGCTTTTCTGCAGGACAGCCAACACTGAACACTGTGGCTGGGGTTCCACTGGGGTTAAAAGTGGGGCTCACAGGGGCTGTGGCAGAGCAAAACCCAGCACCCGGAGACCCTGGCAGAGCCGAGGCTGCCTGCTGGCGCTCGGGACTATAGTAGAGTGCTGGTCTGGCAGCTTTATGGGCTGGAGAAATCCCGTGTTGGCAGTGCCTGAGGAGTGGTGGTGGAGCTGAGAC